TAGACAGGTACCTAGGACGGGTACAGTTACCTTGGAATTCTTCCATACTTACCTAGTTGGTCATAGAACTTTATTACCGCAGGTTGCGTGATCAGGTTATACTAGAATTCAGAATTATATGTTCTATATTTACGAATGTGCATAACTAGGTCTATATATATCTACACCCAAGCTGAGACCAGCTCGCAAGCAAAAAACTGATACACAAGTAATACCCGTAACACTAAAGGATCAACGGACGTCCACGACTCGCGACGATCAGTCCCATGGCATCTCTCCGGGTTATCCTTACAGACTCACATATCTGGGAGTGGTGTTTCTGTGAGAAACATATTATCAACGTTATGCTATGAGACATCTCGTTGTCGACACATGCCAACCTTGGAAAGTCACCAGAGGCTATCGCTCGGCCAAATTGCTACCTTTTCTTATTAGAAAAGATATTTTTTTTCTTTTGTCCTATCGAGACAATGTCTTGTCACGTAAACAATCTTTGTGTGTCCATAACCTCGAGATCGAGCGGAGTGACGGCTTCCGGGTTGAGCATTGCGTGTGATTACTGTAATGTGATAGCCTGGAAGTAGACTGAGGCCGACGATGGCGGCCCATTCCCTTGTGACTGTTTCGCCCGTAGCTCGATGAGTGGTTTGAATTACTTTAGACATCTTTACCCAAGACCACGCAGAATCGACAGCACTCTCGAGAACCTTGCAACTTTAGCTGTTTGATAATCATTTACAGCATCCTATGCCTCTGCGGGTCCATGTTCTACACGAGAAAGAGGATATGGCCTCCCTTCCAAACCACAGGATGGTCGGGATTGAAAGGCTATAAGAAAGGAACCAAGATTCATGAACGGTGTTAGACTTAAAAGGTATTACTTCGGAGTCGTCTTGTGTCAAAGCCCACCCATCACGCAAAGTCTTGAGCCAGAGCCTGTTCGCAGCTACTGAACTTTTGATACAGCAGGTAACATGCGTATGTAACTAAAGCTGGACCATATGACAGTTCGAAGTCGTGACAGCTCCGAACCCATCTGGGGCCGGAGGCCATACTACAACCAAGTGCAAAAGACGCACAGACTGTCGAGTCCGCTCAGATTTCCCAAACACACCAAACCCTTCTCATCCAAAGACGATGCTAATCCCCATCTGCTCACTGACCTTCCTCCACAAGTGCGGCGTTGACACATCCATCGTCAAGAACCCACTGACATGAGCTGACATATCTGGCAGCCCACCACCACCACCAGCCCGCTGCTGTTGTTGTTGTTCCTCCTCCTCCATGAGATCCGCCAACCGCCATACCTCCTGCACAATATCCCACGCCCACTTAATATTGATCATCCCTTGCCTCTTCTCCACCAGCTGGAACGCATCCGTCGCCAGCTGCCTGTCCGCCTTCGTGACGGCCTCGCACGAGGCCACAAACAAAGGCCAGAGCAGCGCACCCATGGGCCCCGCATGGGAACATGTCTGTAAGCAGTGCCAGAGGGCCGTATGCGCGTGGGTCTGCACCTGTGGGTGCGTTCGCGGATACCCATAGATCGAGTGGTACAGGTATACGAAGCAGCTGTGCCGGTAGGCCATGGCGTTGTTGAAAATCGAATGGAGCCGCGACTTCTCGGCCGTCTCGCTGTCGTGCTTCTTCTCCTCCGTCTCCGGGGAGGGTGCATCTTCCGGGTTGAAATCGGCCGGGAGGATCGGTTGCCACATCTCCAGCTCCCGTTCGATGGCGCGTGAATTTGTTTCGAATTCCGTCTTGAGGACGGCCTTCATGGACGAGGCCTGGCCGCTGTGGTAGGCTGCTTCTAGATCGCTCTTGTCGGAGGAGAGCTTCGACAGGCGGTGGATGATTGGCCAGAGGGTCGTGGACATGCCTAGTAACGTATCGACAGAACTAAGGCGGGAATGCACGGGGGATCCACCGGTGGGAGGCAGTGGCTGTACTGAACTTCGCCCTGGTGCTTGGGATAGTGGTGCTTTACCGAACGAGAGCGCTGCAATGACATCGTAAAATCTGAAGGCCTGTAGATTTGTCAGTAACCACCGATCACAGAGTTCACAACCATGACTGTTGAGGTGGACGTACCCGTTCTAGAAACATGCCTGTGGGATCTGTGGCTGCTGGAAACGAGTTTATAATGGTCATGGCGCCTCTCAGATGCCCATCCACCAAATTTGAATGTCCCTTTTGAACCAACTGCTTGCCAGTTAGTTACCTTCTTGCAAATTTTAGGAGGAGTCCGTTGGACAAATTACATACTACTTCATAATACACCAAAAGCATGATGGCAGCCAGAAGCTCATTCTTATCAGCCGTCTTGCCCTTGTGATTAATCATACTAGCCAGACCCTGGATAGCTTCATTGTGGAAATGTAGCGACTGTTCCTTATTGTTGACGCCCCTATACTCGAGATGCGCACTGGCGAGGGCGTAGATGGCATTTTCGACAGGCCGACTCTTGTAAGTCAGCGGCAGCACGAGGTCCGTAAAAGGATTGCCAGACTCTTCCCGAAAGACAATCAAATGACTGAGCTGGTCGCAAAAGTGCGCAACGAGTGCTCGTCGGTTCTTTTGCCCTGAAAACTCGGAAAAGGCAGGCATGTGAAATCCGAGCAGCGGAGATGCCACCGGACACGGTGCGATCATGGCGAGCTCCGGAGGCCTCGAGATATGTGTGACGGCCTGACTGCTGGTACTGGCCACGGTGCTAGTATCCGGGCAGCCTTCTTCGTCGTCGTCGTCATCGTTAAAGGTAACAGCCAGGTCGTGGTCGTTGATAACGGAGGGCGACATGGTGTGGTGGCTTAAATTCGAGGTTGAAGGCGTCAGGGCTGTGCTAAAGGAGTCATTTGATAAGGGGCTGAACAACGGCAGCTCACTGCTGGCGTCGCCGTGATGGCGGAACCAGTCATGGCAATCACTGCCAATGCTTGCTTGTGACCAACGCCGATCTGACAAAAGAGACGGTCTCCGGTCAAATAATCCGGTGATTCTTGATGATGTATTTGAAGTTGTCGAAACCCTTTTCCTTCGTTGACGTGGCCGCACTTCCTCATATGAGCACTCCATGCCGCGCTCGGTGCACCGCGAGCAGGATGGTCTAGTCTCATCACATTTTTTCTTCTGTGAATATGTTGTAAGAAATGGGCACCAGTTCAGGTTTTCTTTGTAAGAGAGGATAAACAAACCTTTTCCTTACTGAAAAGTTCAAAGTAACGTCGGTCCAGATTAGCCAGGGTAAACTCAAGTGGTGTCGTGGGAACATGTAGATCACCTACCAAAATGTACAACCTGCAGCAAGTGCGATATTGGGTCAGCTGCGTTATGTCTCGCATGTAATATAGAAGTGCAAGGACCGTTGGGGAAATAGAAACTTCAACAAGTGTATAAAGGTCAAAGTTGAGGCTCTTGCGGGAAGGGAATGTAGACGTACCAGCCCTCGAACGTCTTTTTGGGACTTTTGGCGGCGCCACCTTGGTATACAATAACATCCTCTCGTTCATGTTGTGTGATTTGTGAGATGGACCGTCGGCTCCTTCGTTTTTGCCTTAGCAGATCTCCACCTCGACATGGAGGAGCACTCTGGTAGTCGTCAGAAGGCACCTAAAGAAGATTGGATACCTTCTGTCTCTCTCCTTTTTTTTTCTTTCTCGCATCAAAGGCACACGTCAACACTCGAGCGGCGCGTGGTTGTCCTCTAACAATGCGGGGAAACCTTTTTTTGGAGCTCAGGGGTCCTCTATTTGGGGTCGTGTGACAGGTGTGAAGTGGAGAATCTGGGGAATCGAGACCCGGAATTCCGGAAGACTGTTGGTATCGTGATCTTTGGTTGATGCGTCTCTCAGGGCTCTTATAATGTCATTTAGTAAAGGGAGGAAGAGCGTCTTGTAAAAGCAAGGCAGACAAAAGCCAAATGGATACAATCGGATCGTGCCCGTTACGGCGGTGACGGAATTGAAAGACGATAACCTTAAAGAAAACAAGCGGCCCTGCACGCACAAGCGTAAGATGAGGCTTTCAAGGGCAATTTTTTGTTCTTAGCGTCCACCAACAGGGCCTCTTTAGCACGCTTTGGGGAGGCGTTGTTGTCATTGAAACCCTTCGGTTGAAGGCCTGTAAGTTGTCGGTAAGTCCGCACAGCCAGCGAGCCAGCGAGCTTGCTCTGACGCCGTCGACGCCGCTTATTACGGGCTAACTCACCTGACCTGGCCAGGCATGACTTATGCCGACCCCAAATTTTTTTAAGTCCGTCCGAAGTCAAAGCAGGCCCTTGCAGCAATCCGCTTCCTTAGGCCAACTCTAGTCGATCCCATTGCCTCGGTCCCTGGCAGGCTTGGTAGGCGATGTTACCCTTCCGGTGGTCTACTTTTCTAGTACACGAACACGAGACGCAACACGGGCTGCCCTCCATGTAAAACCACCGTCTAGAGACCGGGACGTAAGGTCATCGTCATAGCAGAATGCCTTATCACTGCCCACATGGCAATGGATTGGTGACTGTGCACCATAGACTAATCACCGCCCTTTACAGAGTGGCTGAAAGTGAGAGTGTTCGCTTTCGTACATGGCCGCGATGGAACCTAACCTAGGCCCGCGTCTGGCCTGAGGCAAATCCGACCTATTCCGTCTAGAACAGTGAACACCACAAGAAACCCTTGCTTCAATGCATCCATAAAACCTTCAGCGGCCCGACGAAATAGCTAACAGCCCTACGGAACTCGTAGAGAAGCTCGTACATACGCAGTAAGTATTCAATTGGTCTACAATTATCAGCACGGAACGTCTTAGTCCATCCATACAGGGATCTTGCAACAATCTCGCACTTAGTACTCTATGGAGAGTGGAGAGCCGCTCCGCCACATGTGGGGACGGACTTGATGACTAGGGCCGCGGTTGGCCCGGCATGCTGGGCCCCCGCCCGTCTGCCACCCACATTTGAGTCATTATAATCTCGCTTTCCACTGCCGTTTCAACAACAACAGCCCAGTTAAATCGGCGTGGTGGCGGAGTGGTCTATCGCGTAAGACTCGAATCTCTGTATTCTCGATATCTTATCTCTTCGGAGGCGTCAGTTCAAATCTGGCCCACGTCGTTTCTCTTTTTGGGTTTTTTTTTGGTTCTTGTTTCCTTTTACGCCTTCGCTATTCTTGGATCAGCTTTAAACTTCTGTCTCTTCTCCGTTCGAACCTTTTTATCTCCTACAAAATGGCCCTGCTCCAGCAACTTCAGATATGCAAAACCTTCGCAAAGGGCCTGCTTGGATATCGGATCCCTCGGTCGAAGTCTGCGATATCAATCGATGGCCGCGAGTCGCGAAGTGGCACTGACAAGTGAACTTTGTGCATAGGCCTCGGTACGTAGGTGGACACATGACATTGTCTTATAAAAAATATTGGCGCGCGTTTTGCATAGCGATATGTCGCTAACTAGGGACTATAGCTGAGGTATTGGCAACTTCTCATGCTATGTGCACTCCAGAAACCAGCATTTCCAGATTGGATGTCTGCAACTTTCTGGGCTACAATTCGAGCCACGCGTGTTGTAGAAACGTTACACCTGGGCAATTCACAACGCCTCCCTTAACAGGCAATGAGTGGTCTTAACACAAGCTCGGACACAATATGCCGATCAAGGCTGACAAGACTACCAAAATGCCAAAACCTTGCAAACGTTAAGTTATTCTTAGTCGTGCGTCCATTATTGTTCTGCCATTCTTTCTAGGCTCCGCTTTTACGAGAAAGGGGATGGACGAGCGCGCCCGCTGGGTGGTGCCCAGGCGGCGACCCTAGGCATGCTTTTGGGCAGGTATTCAGCCCTGGACTGCTTGGCGCGAAGAGAAAAAAAAACCCCCGAGACAAGTAAAGCGTGCCCCTGGCGATCAAAGTTGATGGAGTGTAGCCGTGTCATCGTATGATGAAGATCTCCCCTTTTGTCCTGCAGATTGTGTATGGTCCAGCCTTCAAGTTGGCAGGCTTTTCCCGAAGCATCAGACAGCTAGGCTTGGCGTTTTGTTTCACATTAGTTATTCAGTAGACATAGCCTGCCTTATCAGGCTTTGTAGAGCTTCCAATTGCTGGCCTTTGTCGATGCACCAGTGTCCCGTAAATCTTAGGCAGCCTTACCAGGCTTGCTGGTCTATCACGAGCAGCCCCTTCTGGTCTTTCGCGATGCCAGTATGGAGTCGGGAACAGGCCCATCGGATTCGGTGGCTGGCAGGTGCCCGGTAAGCCGTCCCCATACCTCAGTCATGATTCTCGAGTGTCCTCAAGTTTCCGAAAATCGATATATCAGATTGTCCTTCTTGAGGTTGACCAAGGTCACCTGTAACCTCAGCAGCATACTTATAAGTACCTGGTAGAGAGGACCTATTTTCATCACGAATCATCAAAAATCAAAGTGCTGATCTTTTCTCGATGTTCATTTCCCAGTTAACACAATTGTGCCAGCTGGGAAGGACGGAGTCACGGCGCTCCTTCGGATGGCAATCCTTTGATCGTTGACTTGGCAGCGTCTCTTACGGAGTGGGTCTTGGAACGAAATTTGCATCGCACATCCGGGGGCATTGGGCTAGTCAAAACCTCCGAGGTGTATCACAGGCTTGACGAGCGGCGAGACAGGAGGGCACTGCCGAGGCTCTAGAGTCTTTCCAGAGTATTTCGATGCAGGTACGCAGAAGAGGACCCTTTCCGTGGTGCCCCAGTGCATTGTTGAAAGAATGAGGATTCCAACAAAGTGTGTGCTAGAATTCAGACGGATTATAATTTAACCATGCAAACAACGACGATGATGGCAAGCTTCTTGCTGTCTAAATGGTACATTATTCCGCTGCGATGGACGGTCGAACACCTGCCACGAGCTGACTCGGGACTGCCTTAGTAGATGCAAGGCGCGAGCCATGGTTTGGTATTTCGTATAAGAGATCGGCTATTGAGGCCATCCACCTCACTGCCTCTCTTCTCGGTACTCATGGGTCTGTCTTGTCTGTCTCTGTTGCCTTGTGCTTATCACTCGATCGCTGCCGCTAGGGGCACTAATGGGAATCACTCGGCTGTGTTCAAATGTTGTAAAATTGACTTGCACCTCGTCACTTCTTCTATTTGGGTATTTCTTATGGATTCGAAATATATTGTCTTCCGAGGCGCTTATCAGAACCAATTCTCATCAAACAAACGGATTTCGACGTATTTTATTATTGTTTGTGCCCAAATTTCTTATGATGAATTTCTCACCTGTCTGGTGTTTGAACCTCAATGCAAGCCTAGAAAAAGTGTATCTGGCCATCAGGGCCTCGTATAAACACGCAGTATGTATACTAAAATGCGACTGGTGTCTCGCCAATCTGCCACGGTCCTCAAGAGTTCATTATGAGGTACGTTAATTAGGCCTCACGCTGACAGTACGTACTTGTAACCAGCTATACCTGTAATAATACTTTGTACACCACTGATTCTCCCGATTTACATATAATCATCAAGAACGAGCGTTCCACATGCCAATAACCCCTATGATCAGGTAGAGAGCCACTCAACCCAACACAAAGCATGAATGCCAAGTCTCAAAACCAGTGGTACACAAGAGCCGCCGGGAAGGCCAAGACACTTGAGGCCTTCGAGAACTGACAAAAGTGTCTTCAAAATAGAAATAGGCGCTAAATACACAAACATGTGCTTTCGTGAATCCTCTTCGGGTTCGATTGTATGTCCGTTTTGTAATACTCGGATCTAGTACCGAGCGTCAAAGTTGACATAGGGCGCCGTGACCCACTCCAGCCCCAGATACACAAGGATTCTCGCGCCTGTTATGACGATTGTTTTGGAAAATGCCGAGAATTAAACATATATTATGAAACACCTTCACATCTGCGCCGCAACTGTATAGCAGTATGCAAGCGGGAACTCGTTGGTAATGTTTAATGAACCACCCACTTGGCGCCTCTTGGCCACTTTGGGATTCTGAATCAATTCACATAGTAGCCAATCCAGCCAACACTCCTTCCATGGTCATAAGCCCTTAGCAAAGTTTTGTTTGACTCAGTAACTAACCAGTATGCCAAATATAGCTTTCTGACTTTTGAATCTCATGATATCTGTGTATAACATCAGTTGGCATCTTATAACTATATAAGAAGTCTTCCGCAATGGCCAGATTGATTCCATTCAACAAGAAGCAATCAGGAATCAGCAATACACTCTTATACCCCATCTCTCCATATATTTATTTCACTTAGTCGGCTTTGATAGTCCGTCCGTCCAAGATCAATCATGCAATTCAGTGCTGGAAACTTGCTCCTCGCCGCAGGACTGCTTGCAGCCCAAGTCGATGCTGGCTACATCTCCGAGCTTGCGAGGCGACAGGCAACATGCAAAGAATGCCCCCTCAACCCTGGCAATATCGTGAAACAAATTTACGAAATGGCCACCAACGTACAATCGAAAGAGAACTGCCGCTGGGAGGCCACTTTTGGCCTTCCCCAGGACTTAGGAGGCCCTGAGAAGCCAAGCTATGACCACCTCAGTAAGGAAACACCCGCATACACACAAAAACAGAATGTTCAAAGCTAATTTCATTGAAAACAAAAAGTCCGCGTCAACTACGACGAAAACGCAAACACTTGTTCTGTCGAGACCAACAACCGCATCGAGGCCATGGGCGACAACCTCTACTGCATCGCAGGCGGCTGCGGCATCAAGGAACTCACAGACACCTACGCTGTCGTCTCGTGGGGCGCCTGCGTCATGAAGGACACGGTCAACTTTGAGCCCGGCCAGGAGATGGGAACGCGCGAGTGCACCGATGCGCAAGGCGAGATCCGGTTTGCGCGCTTCCACAACTCGGAAGACTGCTCCGGCTCCTCGCTGGTGTCCGCCACCGTCGGAGGGCAGGACCACCGGGACTTTTCACCGAGCGAGAAGAGTGGTGGCACGTTCTGGGGTGGCGTTGTGACTTTCTGCAGCACGCTGAGCACCGGTTCCTGAGCCGGGAGAGTAATCGTGGCCGGACAATGATTTTGTTTTTGCTTGCATATAACTAAAGGTGGCCCGAGGAAGGATTTGGCCCGGGTGAGGTCTCCTTGATGTAAATATTCCATGGTTGGGAGCTAGTTCTCTTTTTCGTGCTGGGAAAGTCAATGGATCAACAAGGCTTGAAATCCGGGAAATTTGTTAAGCTTCCCGCAGCTTCTAGAGCCGAATCCCAATATATTTGCGTTTTGGCACAATTTGGCAGTCTCTCCATCGTTCTCCCCTGCCCCATTGCCCCAAGGAATCTGGATTTGGACATCAGGGAACAACCATGACGCAGCATGATCCAATACAATTCGAACCGAGTGCAGAGACAAAAAACGCCGGGGTTTTGTGCGATCGTGCGCCACCGAGTGTGGTCGACTTCCAGCCACAGTGGCAGCGGCGTCTCTAACCAGTGACAGGCAGCCTCGCCCACAAGGCTGAATTTGCGAGCAACTGTTCACCTTCCCCAGCACCCTCAGCCCTTAATTTAGCGCATCTTTAGTTCTTGCCCCTCTCACTCAATTATCCTGGATACGGATCATCTCGGAATGATGGATACCTAGGTACTATCGTGAATTGTGCCTTACACGCGATCGATGTTCGGCAGTCCTACCCAGGACAGGGATATGAGCCGGCCACCGACGTAGCGAAGACCTAGACGAAAGTCTATTTGACTCTATCCATACCTACCCACCCGGCTGCCTACCCTTCTTTTAGAGAAATACCAATCGCTCATGACGCGATGTCTGAACTGGACCTTGCTAGAGAACAAGCTGCTGCAAAGAGCCCTCACTAGAGGGTTGTAATGCACCAAGCCCCTCTCTTTACTCGGGTGTAGTTGGGAAGATGATCGATAAAGTACAACAGAGCCTTCAGCCCAGCATCATATCACTGAAAGGTGAGACCATCAACACAAGTAAAGCAATACTTCGTATGGTATTTGTGCCGCCAGGACATAGCACAGCGTAGATAGGTATCGATAAAAGGTAGGAAAGAAAAAGAAAAAAGGGCTACCACTACTCTCTGAAACCCCAACGTCGTCTACCGTCAATCTGATAAAGACAGTGTAATCTTTTTCTTCACTCTC